TTACATACTTGTTTGCACTTGTTTTTTACTTTTACTTGGAGTTAACTAACAATTTGGTAGTTAAAATTGGATACTTAGTTCCCAAATTATACCTAATCATATTTAAATCCACCAAGGCTTAATTGATGCTTAATGATGAATTTATTCAATGTAAAGCACTTAATAATGTATACAAATTTATGTATAATTTTTTATCGTCTCCTGCATAATATATACATACATATGTATGTTGAAATGTAAACTTTTGTATTATATTTATTCCATGATTTTTGTTATCAATCGAATACCAATTTAAGATGCAAATAAACATTTGCTTTTTGTGTTACAATGTTTGTACATAGGTAACGTTTGTAGATGCCATCAAGTTACATAATGGAAAATTGTGGAAATTTTTATTTTTTTAAATTTAGTTTTTTTTTAAGTTTTCAATGGGGTAGCTGTTTTTCTTCGTCCATTCTATATGCCTACTTTGCATATATGATAGATACGGTGCTGATGATAAATGTGGTAATATCTTCAATCAATAGGCCACTCCTTTGTAAGTCAAACTGTTAGGCATGTAACATAAAGAGGGAGGCCATAATTTTTGATAAAATATTTGTAAACAATATTTTTCTTGCTACAAAGCTAATTTTTATACTTTTTATACCATATTTAATTTTGTTAAGATAGAGTTTTACAATACGTTGAGTGAGTTCTTAAAGGAAATGAAACAGAAAAAGAGAAACAACAATCATAAATTTACATGAATATGATATTATTTTAGAATCTAATAGAGAATAAAGGGATTCTCAAAATTATTTTTCTTATCGATCGTAATTGAAATGGATTTATTTATTTATTTACATATTTAAGATACCATCATTAAATTTGAATGATAAAACTATTTCAAAATAATTGAAGTTCAAGTTATCCTTTTCGTATTTATACCAAATATATGTAAGTTATGATTAATTTCAAGGTATAAAATTGCATCACATTTTTGCCATTTCGAGAAAAACACCATTGAAATTTTTTTTCCCCGTTATTTCTGTTTTACTTAAACATTAACTAGTGAAGTTTAGTGAAGATGGTTTGAAATGTTAGCATTTTAAAATGTTGCTACTAAATATTACCTAGTATTAAAATTTTAACATCATTTTCTATATCAAAAAAGGTACATACATATACACTTTTATAAAAAAGATATACAATCAAAATTTTTACAAAAGATATACAATCAGAACTGAATAAGTTCACTTATCTAGTTTTAATTGTTTTTAAACGTGCGTTTCACTTACATAGATATACATAAGAAAAATTTTATTAAAAAAATACACACGTAGATATAATTTTTTTTTAAAGCTGTGTTAAAAGCAATAATTGGAAGAAAATTGAACTGTAATTGAAAAATTAAACTGTTTGTGATGTTGGTTTGTGTTTATTTTGCGTTTAATTTTTCATAAGAGTTCTTCAACATCAGTGTACGGCATTACAAAATTTTGCAAAAATATGTAAAATTAGTCTTAAAAACTAATAGGCTACTTAGACAACCGGCGTCAATCGCTGATTCTTAAAATTGGTTATAAAATTTTTATTACAAATTCTCTTATTCAAAAAATTTTCAATACGCAAAGTACATATGTATGTGCTAAATACCGGTGCTTTAACCACTGCACCAATGGTCAGGTACTTTATTAACATTACGGCAGATATATTCATGTCGGTTTGAATTGATTTTTTATATGTACGGTGATTTAATTTAAATTGAAAGCTAAAGCGATAAAAGAAAAAAAATTTATTGCAAAATATTAGCTTGATTTTTTTTACAGGGGTAAACACTGAAATTCAAATAGGATCAAATATTTCTGACTTTTATGGAAATAGTTTTATTAAGTCTAAAATAACTTTGAAATTGCAATTAAAATTTCTTATTTAAAAAGACAAAATACCCATACTGTTTCTGGAAGATTTAAAAAATTACTCCGATCTCGCAATATTTTCATTTTTATGCTTTTGTCTCTATATTCCAGCTTATTACTTTACTTTAAAAATAAGAGGGCGTCCATTATTGTTTATTGATACGGGAAATGCATTTCATACAAAAAACATTAATAAATATTTTTTTATACATTTAACACGTTTACCTTGCAAAACTATGAGAGCTAGAGGAAAATGTTATATTATGTAGGTTAACTTTTCGATATCATTTAGCGCATAGAAGCAAAAAAGAAAAATTTCCGAGAAATTTCAAGTTTTGTAAAAATATGAAAAAAAAAATAAAAATTCTGATTTTGACAAACTGTACTTCGAAAACTATGGCTCAAATTAAGTTAATTGTAAGGCCAAAAATAAAGAATAACCAATCGCCTGATGATAACTATATCTTTTATGATTCCGAAGTTATAAGTTATAAGTACCTTTTTTTTCAATAGATTTTAGCGGGAAAACGAGTATACCTGGTACTTCTATAACTATATTGTATCTTGAAAAAAAAACATAGTGAAGCCAGAAAATTTCAGGTCTTTTTCTTTGCTCCGAGCATTGTCAAACTGAAATTAACATTAAATGCCAAATGCTTTTTTTTTCTTAGAAAATTACGCGCCGCTGTATAAAAAGTAAACAAAGAAAAGTTTGTTTTTTTTATTTATAAAATTAGTGCAGTTTGTAAATAAATAATCTTAAAATATTTAATAATAAGTGTAAAAAAAAGAATATTATTTTATAAAAACATAAAAAAATTATAACAAGTAAAAAAAGGGTGTATGGTTCTTAATTGTTATTTCCATTAGCAAAAACAAATAGTTTTCTTACACCATATACATGTGAATGTTATACTAATGTCTACAAGTAACTAACAAAAATGTTAGTAAAAGTAATATAGGTTGACATTTCAACAATTTGAACTATCGCATTTCATTTATTTATACGTTAATTATAAAATTGTTTCAAATAATTTCAGTTAGTTTTTAAGTTATTAAGAATAAATATGTATGTACCTACTTCCAATCTTTTTTTTTTAATAATTATTTTAAAACTATTTCAAACATGTTATATTGAGTGCTTCAAAAATTTTGTTGCGGCCTTCTTTCATATTTTATTAACAGGTAAACAAGAGCAATCTATTTATAAAATTGCCCTGCCTGTGTATGAGTTTTAATAGTAAACGTAAACGGACAAAAATTTACATGAGTACCTACTACCTGTCATCTTACAATCGGAGTTTTTGAGTCATTTGCTACTTGTAATTTCAAAATGTCATTTGCTACTTATTTCAAAAATAAAAAAAATATTCGAATCCGGTCATAAAATACATTAGTCTTTTCCAAAACCTTTTAAATATTTTTTTACTCAGGTAATATATTAAGTTTTAAAAATTTTTCTCACAAATAGAGGCAAAATTTAGAAGTGTATATAAAATTTGTATTTAAAAAATAATATTTGATTGTTTTTTAGATACTATTTTCTAATTTTTTCTTTACTATGTATTTATATCAATATTCAATAATTATCTTTCATTAATTATATTTTCAACTTGACACCAAAGTTACTTACCATATCTTGAGTTAACTTACCCTAAGAGAAAAAAAAACTGTTCACTTAAAAATAATGAAATGCTTTCAGTAACATATAAAACGTTGAAGGCGAAGGTTGTTAATTACGAATGAAAATATTAATATATTTTTTTGATTTTTCAAATATATTTTCTAAATTTTACCTGTTTTATAATAAGTGCGAATTTATTTTAATATTTCTTCTCAAAAAATAACCACTTCGATTTAAAAAAAACCCATATAAAAGAAGGTCGTGCTTTCAAGTTTCTCTCTGAGCATTGGGACTTGTTAGATTTATAAAGACATTAGTTATACACTTCAATAATTAAATTAAATATTTATTCAGTTGTGCTTTCATTAATTCATAATTTCTAATTTTATTGTGTTTTTAATTTTGCAAAAAAAAAACATATGTTTTTGCCGTAATTTTACCAGGATCAGTTTTTTTTAAGCAAAATGAGTTTGTGTTTGTAGCATACAAACAAATATTTTAAATGATTTTTTTTGAGTAATTACAGTTTTCCTAGAAGCTATGAAATGAGATACATATACTTATTTCCTTTTATAGAGTGAAAATTTGATCACCATAAAAATAAATTAAGACGTTTAGAGTTGTTCAGTAAAATTAGCAAACAAAATTGATAATATAAAAAATTTTTTTAACAAAATATGTCTATTTTCGAGGATCATAAAATATTTATAAATATTTGCAAGTAAATAAATTTATTCAAAGAGAAAAAAAAATATAAGTTTTGTTTAAATTTTTTTTTTTTCCACAGATATCTAAAACGGAAAAACATTTTAGTTTATTTAAAAAGAATTTTTAACTTATTTTTTTTTTCCTTTGTTCACTCCTAGAAGGAGCATAGGGCTAGTGCATGATTTCTCATGCACTAGTTTCATAGCGTCATAGGGTTTAACTAGGTAGGTGACTAGCCTGCCGTAGTTTTTATTTATATATTAATTATTTGAGGTTATTAATATTTACTATTTATTTTTCTTAGTTTTTTTTTTTTTTTTTTTAATATCGAATATTAGGAATATTTGAAAATTACTTGTATAATATTTTTATTAGTATTGTATATTAAGTGTAATAATATTGAATATAATTTTTATAGTGACCTGACCGGGGTTTGAACCCGAGACCCTTCGGTTAAAGGACCGGTGCCATAACCACTGCACCATTGGTCAGATATTTTTTAACTTATACTTCTTACAAATTACACATATTTTATGGTTAAAGCCAAAGAAAATGAAATAAATACGCTCCCGTTACGACTTTGACAATACTCGAAGCAAAGAAAGAAACAACTAGAAAAAGTCGACTTTACTGATTTTTCCAGATGCTCCTTCCCTTAGTATTTCTAATTCGTTGCCATGACCCATCTACAACATGGTGGGAAACTCGTTCAGATACATATATGTTGAAGTTTATTTCAAAATTAAAAAACAAATAAGATCTACATATGAAATCAACGTTATATTTCTCTTCAATTAAAAAAAAAGCGCATTATTTAATTTTATTTGATTTTTCCTAAAAAAAAGTATCGAAATGTGAAAACTATGCGAAGGATTCACTCAAAACTGAATTTAATGTCAGAGTTAGAATTTAATTCCCCAAAATTAAAGTCAAAATTTAGTGCCTCATTTCGACTAGACCCAGAAGTTTGATCTACATTGAAGAAATTGCAATTTGGAGAAGAATTCACTTCATTGTTTTGTTCTTTATCTTGTTCAAAATTAAAATCAAAAGCAAAATCTACAGAATTCATTTCATTAAAGATTGATGAATTATTGTAATTGCGTAAAATATCTGAGATCTCAAATTTAAAATCTGAATTTCTTACAGACTGTTCTGTGGATTTTGAAATACTACTAGTGCTTACAACATTTTGAGCATCTTTCTGATAGTTTTTTTGTTGAATTTCTGACGCTTTTAAGTTTTCATGCAAAGGTTTTCCATCAAAAACATAAATTTTTGGCTTTGGATATAGTAGTTTATTCTCTGAATGCGTCCTTTTATCAAAACCTCCTACCAGCTTGTTGTTGTCCGCAATTAGTAACTGTGACGATAATTTATTCTTTGATATGATATGGGTTGTAGAATAAACCTTTTTCATCTGCTTTTGGAAAGCGGATTCACTTGGGGAAGATGTATTAGAATTTTTTCGTTTCAGGTGGAAATAATATTCTGTAAGGGTTGGAGAAATTACTTTTGGAGATTTATATTCTACACTTCGTGAATTTCCTACTTTTTTAAAAATATTTGGTGTTGATTGAGTTTTTATTATTTCTGAGCGTAATATTTTTGGACATCTTTTATTTTCCGGGATTATTTTTTGTATTTTTAAATCGAAATTTTTTTCGGAAACAGCGTCGCCAACATCATGATTAGCAGTTTTAATTTTTACGCAGTCAACTATTCGAACACCGTCTGCAATATGTTCGTTAAAAGTTTGTTGTTGGGCTGAACATATTGCACTTGAATTAGTTTTAAAAAAATTAAGCGGAAACGGTTTTTCCAATAACAGATTTGGACTGATAATTTGTGGGTATTCCGCCTCGTCTCTGTCTATTGTCTTTTTGAAACTTTGAGAACTGCTTGAAATTTTACGCTTTTTTGTAGTTTTTATTTTATCTGCATCTATTGATGCTTTGAATGCCTTTTGAACTTTTCTCATTTTCGTGACCTTGTGTAGCTCATAAAGTTGTCCAAAATTACCATAATAATCTGTTATTCGTTTAATAAGTGAAGATTGGAAATCAATTTCATCAAGAATTGGAAGTTTTGCTACGAATCTCAGTTCATCTTCATCCGAAGACAAACTTTCTTTAGTTTCGTTATTTAAACCAGAATCTCTTTTTTTACATAAATTTGTTTTTTTTTCAATTTCGTATTGTATGTTATGAAGCTAAAAATGAAATTAGTAAAAGATCGAATTTTTTCGTGCATGATTACTTACCTCGTTTTCTAATTTTAAAATTTCAACAAGATCAACAATAGATTTATTCATTTGCTTTTTAGTTTCTTCACAATGTTGTTCCAATGATCGTGAGCTTTTAAGTAATTCTTCCCTTCTAACTTTATATTTTTTTTTTATTTCATTTACGTCACTTATCAATTTTTGATATTCTGCGACTAAAAATTATTTTAATGATAAATACGAAAACTTTGTAATAACGTTAAATAAACCTATGTAAATTTTTTTCAAATGCTTATCTGTTTCTTGAATATAATTTCGCATGAGCTGCATATCTTCTTTAAATTTTGTTTGAAATGTCGAGTGATAGTAGTTACAAAAAAAGTTTTTCTGTGAGTTTAACATAACTTCCATTGATGAATGAATAACTTTTCGTATCCTTAAAAAGATGTAAAAATTTAAAATTTATGACTTTAACAAATGCAGCACCGTAGTAACATCAAAACCTACTTTATATGCATATCCAATAAAAATAAACGAATACTCTTATATAAATACGTGCATATGCTTAGTGGCAATATACTTTTATTAGGTAAATAAATATTTAACATACTTACTTATTTTCAATTTGAGGAATAATTTGAGCTATTTCTTTTATGCTCTTGTTCCTGTAATTTACCAATGATATTTGCTCTTTAAAGAGTTTATTATTTTCCTTTATTTTCGCCAAAAAAATTTCAGTTACTAAAATTATACAGAATTGTCGAAGTTCCATTTTTTAAAATTTAATTATATTTATGAATATATGTATGCACGTATGAAGGTATTCTTACTTAACGTAACTAAATCTATTATGAAAATTTCTTCTTGCACGGATTGAATTTTTTTAATTAAGGTAGACTCGTTTGCATCAGCAGCAAATAAGTTATAATGCTCCCGAAAATTGAACATTTTAGTAATATCCTATTTAAAAATTAACTAGTTGTATTATTTAGAAAATAAGATCACTAATATGTACATATGTATGTATTTAAATAGTTATTTTATTTTAACAAGCATTAAATTTCAATATAATGTGCATAAAGTAACTGTAAAAATCTTGTTGTTTGCCAAAACTACTAACAAAAATGAAGATGTCGCAAAATACACATATGTATACGCTCAAAACACCAACCCAAATAAATAAATAAATTAGACATAAACCCATCAGAAATGTAGGTAAGTTCGTGAAGTGTTGTGTTTTTTCAACTATTCAACTTGATTCCTTGACACGCTTAAAACGTAGTAAATTTCCCATATGTTGAATCGTTAGTGGACTAGTTGATCAACCATTGCTTGTTGAATGTTGAGAGTTAGTTTAAAAAAATATTAAAAAATTTTAACTTTTGTGGGCGCGATTTTGTTTGTTGTATGAAACTACATTTGTAATTTTGAAAATAGTTAAATAATGTTGAAGTGTGAAATGCTATGTTGATCAACATGAAGAATGACCAAGCTGATGGGTATATTTAATAAAATCACATACTTTGATTAAATCAAAGTATGTATTCTAATTAGTAATTGGACTCTGCGTTTACATCACACTAATGCAATCACTCACCCATTTTTTTCAATCACTCAACAATAGATGTCTACCTGTTTTTTACAATGTATTTTTAAAGGCGCACAAGAGCATTTTTTTCATATATAAAGTATAGGAAAAATTATTAAGCATTTGAAAGGCGTACAAGAGAATTTCTGTAATTCATTTCAGTGCAAGATGGCAAAAATGGTGTATCCATATTATAAAAACGAAGAGATTTACAAAAAAAAAAATGAGTGTTAAATTAAAAACAGATTATTTTAACTTATACGTACATATAAAACTTAAAAAAATATTTAAAATAAATTTTAAAAAGACAAATAATATTAAAAAATATAAAATTTTTTTAATTTATAATTAGTAATTGTCAATACATCAATTATGAATATTTTAATTTCAATCTTGTCTTTAAAAATTTAAAAGAAAAACATTTCCTGTGAATATACATGCACACTTATAGGTATTATATTTCAAAAAGTATAAATTAATGTGCATACGCATTTTTCATTTTTTTTCTTTATAAATTGATTTGTTTTTATCCGCGTCTATATTGCGGTTTGACTTTATTTACAATCAACTCCAAACTTAAATTGCGTTTTACTGTGTCAGCTTAAAAGAACGAAAACTACGTTTAGCTATTAAGTTTCAAATCATTATTAACATTTCAAGTCAAGTAAACAAAGTATTTCATTGACTTGAATGAAGCCGACTTAAGTCAAGTAACGTTCAAACAGGCATATAAACAAGATATATGTATACGAATACGTATATTTATTAATAAGTAGTTCGACTCGTTCCATTCCGTTAGTTTTCGTTTCATTTTTCTTCCAAATTCTTAAAATATTCCATTTTTATTTAGAAATAATTGGTAATAAGAGTTGTGTAGTCAAGAAAGAAACAAAATATTGTTAACAAACGAATGTATCAATAACATTGAACTAAAATAAAATTAAATTAGGTTAAATAAAAATTTTGTTATTTTTATTGTGAAAATAAAAATTTTTTTTTCATATTTTGTTTTTCATTTCATAAAAGTTAGGTAAAAACAATCGAAAGTAATAGTTATAAACTTAAAATTTCATACTTTGTTATACGGTACATACCTATCAATATACTCCGTTATATGGCTGCTTCAAGCTTATTATTGCCTATATAAACGTTACGTGACCTGAAGCCGATTTCACTCAAGTCGCTTACTTGACTTGAAATGTTATTAATGATTCGAAATTTAATAGGTAAATGTCGTTTTTGGGCTTTTAAGCTAACATAGTAAAAACGCAGCTATTTTTAAGAGGGAGATATATTTTAAAAAGTGGAGTTAATTTCTACATTTTTCATTAACTGACTAATTTATTAACTTGACTACTAAAAAATATGTGAATAAATCGTCCATCAATTTATCAGAAATTAGTATATGTATATAAGTTCGTTAGCCATAGTTTTGACAACAAATTCGTATTGCACAACAATTTTTTTTCTTATTTAAAAATTTAATATTTTTCAATTGGAAAAATCGGAGCCAAAATGTGAAAGGAGGAGCCGGAGACATAAATTTTCAAATCGGAGCCAAACGACAGCCCTGGATAACATACATTTATGTACAATTTATTCTTAATATAATTGTTTTATCATACATTTTCTGCAAAATGAATAAAATCAGCAAAGAAAAATAATTCGTGCATAAAACATAATAACGCGTATAAAATAAAGTAGTACTCCAAAAAGGGTTTTTTAATGTTTGGTTTTATTTATAAACTTAAGTAGCCAAAAAAAGTTTTGCGTTAGTTACATGCATTTATATTATGTTATAAAAGAAAAAATAATATTCACGAATATGTAAATGTGTATATATGCGCGTAATAATTATATAATAATAATTAAGGTTGATCGACACATCCGACATAGTGTAAATATAAAGTAAATAAAACAAAACGGTAGAAAACAACATTTGCACATTGTTAACAGATGGTTAACAAACACGAAAACGTTATAATCTTCTAGAGCTTCACGTACAGAGCCCTTTACATACATACCATATAATGTACGTAAGACCTATACACACTGATAGGCAATATGATATTTATATATGTACTATCGTGCCCAATCGCAGTTTTTACTGACCGGATTACATCTAATAGGTATGTGGTCTACCTGTCCAGGTCTGTATCTCAATTTCCGCTGAACCGATTTTCATGAAAATTTATATTTGATTTTACTTCGGTTATATCACGGTTTTATCAAATTTATTAAGGATATTATAACATATTTTGTTAATTAATATGAGCCGCAATGTTGACGAGGCATAGAAATAGCAATTTATTAAAAAAATTGCCTATTACCGATACGCGTGTACATATGTATATAATATAAAATATATATGTATATTTATAAAAAATATTTGTTTTAAATTTTTAAAACAAAATTTAAATAAAAATAAAAAAATCATAGTTTATATTACAATAAATGTAATGACAATTACTAATTACAAATTTTAAGTTTAAAAATACATTATAAAAAACCAGAAAGACATTTATTGCGTACTTTGTCCCGTTCCCAAAAATTCCAATGCGTATAAAACGATAATAAGAAGGTAAACTGCTTAACTCTTTTAGCTAAGGGAAGTTTTTGTATACAAATATTGGTGAGTGATTGCATTAATGTGATGTAAACGGAGAGTCGAGTTATTATTAATAGATATACTTTGTCTTGTTATCATCGTACATATACGATGATAAAATTTTGTTGTGCTCTTCTTTCATATCTTATTAGCAGGTAAATAAGAGCAATCTATTTATAAAATGGACCTGCCTGTGTATGAATCTTAATAGTAAACGCAAACGGACAAAAATTTACATCAGTACCTACTACCTGTCATTTCACAATCGGAGTTTTTGAGTCATTTGTTATTCGTAAGATACCCTGCCTTATTCTAGTTGTCGCGTCATTTACGTGACATTTGTCGTTGTCGTTGTCACATCATTTGAAATGTGGTATTCTAGTTGTCGAGTGACGTGACTGCGAGAAATAAACGAAAATGAAACGTTTCAAGTGAAATTGATACATTTTAAAAAGAAATTTTGGCGAGTAAAGTTCAAACTAAAAAAAAAAATTCGGTGTATATATTTATTTTTTTAAATACGAGGGAAATAAAAAATGTCGTCATTTGCATTATGGTTTATGGATTCATCAGACTCCGAAAGTGATGAAATTGAAAAAAAACAACAATTAAGGATCAAAAGGTTTAAGATTAGGGACAGCCCTAATCCATTGGATTTGCCAAATAGAGTGTAAGACAATAATTTTTTCAAATACATTAGTTACAAACATTTTATTTTATTCACAGATTTATAAGCTATTACAGACTTTCAAACCATATATTATTTGGTTTAATTTATGTATTAAATTACAAAATTTATTATTTTTTATATTTTTATTAAATTTTTTTGTTTAAACTTACATTTTTTGTGTATCCATCTCGCTTGTCACTTGTTAAATACTTTTCGACAAAAAACGTCGTTTCACTACGACATGTGTCGCTCTACAACGACAACTGGAATATACCTGAAACACATTTTCCCGCTATTCCACGACACGTGTCACTTTAATCGCCATTTAGAATATCAAATTCAAGTCGTGACAACAATTGTCGCTCTACTTCGACAACTAGAATAAGGCTCAATATTTATTTCAAAAATAAAAAAGATATTCGAATCCGGTCATAAAAATATATTATTGTCTTTTCCAAAACCTTTCAAATATTTTTTTACTTAGGTAATATATTAACAAAGAATGTATATTTATAAAGAATCGCAAAAGTCTAAAAAGAACATTTTTTTTCATCTCTACTTTGTGACAACGATTAGCTATTCACCTCAAAATAATGTGGTGTGTTGAATTATTTTTATTTTAACTGAAATTCTCATTTATATATGTATGCTGGTGAATACACAATCTATATTATATTTTACAAGATTTTTCCAGTTCATGAACAGGTATACATATAATCTAATAAATAACAAAAACAAAAAAATGAAAATAGCAAAAGAGAATACTGGGTACATACATTACTCAATTGATTATACATACTGTAAAACAAAAACAAAAAATGAAAAGCGAAAAGCGAAAGAGAATAAAAAAAGAGTAGTAATATTTTTTTTGTTTTTTGCTTTACTAACATAAACAAAAATAAAAAAAAGGAAGCGAAAACAAAACAAAAGGAAGCGAAATATTTTAAATGAGTTAAGTAAGAGTTAAATAATTGTTTGTTGTTGTATTTAACATGGAATGGAATTAAAAAAAATAAAACTAAAAATTGTGAGAGATATAAGAACACGAATAACGTTACGTTACGTACTAAGGCAATTATTCTTCGTGTGCTTGCGAAATTTCAATTGAGTAAGTAGCCAGGTCTGTATAAAAAAAAGAGGCATTGATTTTTTATTAATTCACATTCACTTTGGTTTTAAAGTTTAACGTGAAAGGTACTATTTCCTTTCCTTTTAATTTTGTTTGGCATCAGTTCCCCATCCGTCTTGCATATGCCATGACTATAAATAAGTCCCAAGGGCAA